CCCCCCCCCCCCCCCCCCCCCCCCCCCCCGGGGGGGGGCGCGGCCCGGGGCGGACGGGGGGGGGGTGCTCGCCGGGCCGGGGGGGCCCCCGGGCCGGGGGGTTGACATTACCCGGGGGAACATTTGCCCCGGGCCCCGGTCGCCGGTGGGGTGGGGGGCCCCCCCCCCCCGGGGGGGGGGGGGTGTCGGGGGGGCCCGGGGCGGGGGGGCCGGGGGGCGGCCCCCCCCCCGACCCGGATGTGACAGGATACCACACCGCCAAGCTGATCATCAAGCTGATCAACCGCGTGAAGAACGTCATCAACGCCGATCCGGACGCCGAGCTCCGGAAGCTCATCCGCGTGGTGTACATCCCGAATTACAGCGTCACCCTGGCCGAGCGCATCATCCCGGCCAGCGACATCTCCGAGCACATCAGCACCGCCGGCACTGAGGCCAGCGGGACCAGCAACATGAAGTTCGTCCTGAACGGCGGCCTGCTGATTGGCACCCGCGATGGGGCCAATGTCGAAATCGCCGAGCACATCGGCGGCTGGGATCTGGCCTTCGAGTTCGGCGCCAAGGCCGAGGAGGTCGATGACCTGCGCAACAAGGTCCGCTACCTCCGGCCGGAAATCCACCCGGCCTTCCGCCGTGTGGTGGAGGCCATCAAGTCCGGGCAGTTCGGCGACAGCTCCCCCTTCGTCAACATGCTGGATCGCTTGGTGTCCGATGGCGACTACTACCTGATCACGGTGGACTTCCCGTCATGTGCGTCCTTCGCAAGCGTGTGCCGCCCCCCCCCCCCCCCGCCGCCGGAGACCTGCCCCATGGCGTGCCCTGCGCCGGGGCCGCTGCGCGGCTGTCTTCTTTGCTTCCTTTCCCTTTCCTTGGGGGCTGCGCAACTCCTGCCCTGGGAGGGGGCGCCCTCGCTGGCGCCCTTTTCCGCCCCCCTTCCACCTGGGCGAAGGCATCGGCGCCTCGCCTGAAGGGGACAGGGCGGTGGGCGAGAAGCCCGTGTCGTGGGAGCATCCTTCCAATGGGTGCCTTTTGTGCATGTTTTGCTGCCCCCCCCCCCCCCCCCCGGCCGCCCCGGCCTCTCCCTCCGCCGCGCCTGCACGCACAGATCCCGAGGCCCAGGAGCGCGTTGATGCCGCGTACAAGGACCAGAAGAAGTGGACCCGCATGTCCATCGAGAACTGCGCCGGCATGGGCTTCTTCAGCGCCGACCGCTCTGTCCAGGACTATGCCAAGAAGATTTGGGGCATCAACGTGCGTTTTCCGCGCCCCCCGCGCCCCTGCTTGCCTCCCGTCCTCCGGGGCAAGTTGCTAACACGGCCTGCCCGCCCCTTTTGGATTGCTGCGTCCCGGCCGTCGTGCTTCTTGGCGCATGTGCACGCCTGCCCCTTGGATGCATGCGGCCATGCGCGCACACGCGCACGCGGGGGGCGTTCTCGAATGCAGCCCTGTCCGCCGCCGCCGAGCAAGTAATTTTTTTCGGCGAAAAAGACCTCCAGCCATGTGCTGTGCCCTCGCAGGACGCCTTCCCGAGAAGAGGGAGCCCCACTTCCCTGCTTCTATATCTCCCCCTGGGGGGGCGGATAGTGGGAGCAGCCTCCCCTTTTGTCATGACGGGGGGGGGGAGAGGGAGGGAGGGAGGAGAAGCAGGGAGAGGACCAGACAAAAGGAAGGGGGGGGGGGGGGGGGGGGGGGCGGCCGGGAGGCGGGTTCCGCCCTGGCCTCCTCCTCTCACTTTCGCGATGGCGCGCAGCTTCCCCTGTGCCGCGGGAATGTGCGCGCACAGGCGAAGGGAGGAACCCCTTCCTCGGGAGAGAGAGAGAGAGAGAGAGTTCATGCAACAAGGTGGACTCAGGCCGATGTCGCACTAACGGAGGGGACATGGCGGAGCATCGAACGGAAAGAATGACGAAGTGTTGTAACAGGCGAGATTGCGCGATCCATGAAAAAAAAATCAGTCAAAATAAACCCCCTCGCGCCCCGACACCATGTGCGTCCTCATGCCTGTGGCCGCTGCTGTGCCTGTCTTTGCTCAGAAAAAAAGACACCTCCCCTCCAGGCTCCGGCTCTCGCGCGGCCATGTGTCTTGTGGCTCCCTGGGAAAGCGTGGGGGCTGGGTGGAAGAGGGTGTATTTGGGGGAGCGAAGGGCCGGAGAACAAAGGGAAGGCTGTATTTTGACTTGCGCAGCGTGTGTGAGACAGGGCGTGGCGAGGGCCGGAAAAAAAAATGGCCATGAGCTGTCCGTGCGTGCTCAGAAGTAGATCACCTCGGCCTGGTTCTGGGGAGTCACCTTCGGGCAATAGGGGCATTTGAGAGATCCGGTGGTTGTGGTGAACCTCGCGGGGCTGGGCGGGCAGGGCCAGGGGTCGCGCGAGGGCGGGGCAAGGGAGGATAGTGTGTCGTCAGAGGGAGAGAGACGGAGAGAGGGAGAAAGCGAAAAGGGAGAGGGCTTGTCTTCAAACATGTGGCAACCACCCCTCCACCAGAACAAGGGACCGGGGAAGTCCAGGACCGGGCAGCGGACAGGCCGACCGGACACCCGGGCCGAGCCCTCATGGACGCACTAATTTTTCGTGGCCAAATTCCGAAGGGTGGTCTCGGACACGGCATGCCCGCAGGACAAGCGCATGGGCCAGTTGAAGGGGCTGGTGCGGGATTTGCTGACGGGGCAAATGAACACCGAGTGGAAGTCCATGCCTTCCTCCAGCGGGATGGGCACGGGGATTTCTTGAACTTGCGCCGCCCAGCGCTGAGCCTGTTGCGTCTGGCTCCACAGGCGCTCGGCATCGGCCGGTCGAGTCCCCGGTCCCAGCCGCGCCAGGTCCACGGGCACGCCATTGCGGAAGAGGGCCCCGTCGAAGCCGAGCCCGGCGGCGGCGCCCGGCCCGGCGGCAAGTCCGTCCCCCTCGCGGCCGGACCCGGCGGCCGCGGCCGTGTGCCGGGTCAGCGAGGAGACCAAGTCTGCCGAGGCCCCCTGGATGCGGGCAGCCTTCTCCATGGTCGGCAGGGCCACCACCCCGGCCAGGACCAAGGTCGACAGGGTGTCATTCAGGGCCGGAGTCGTGCGCGGCACCAGGAGCCCGCTCAAGGCCTGGCCGACACCGGCCCACACGGACGGATGCAGGGCCCGGCCCCAGCAGGCCGCCTCGCATGGCTGTGCCGCGCAAATGGAACAACACCCGGAGGTGCTTTTGGCCCCGGCCGGCAGGGGGGCCAGCTCGCTGGAGGAAAGACTGTCCTCGGCGGTGGAAGTACCACCGGTGGCATTTGCCCTTGGGGTCGGCTCCACCCGGGCATCGGCCACCGCCGCGCAGAAGCCCGCATCCAGGCCGAAGTGCGGGGCATAGCGCGACTGGAGCAAGCGCCGAGTCCGTTCCTCCGGCTGGCCGGTGGAGCAATACATCATGCAAACGGCCATCCGGCAGAGGGCCTCACGTGCGTGGACGCGCACCGACTCGTCTTCGGCATCCTCCGAGTCCCGATGGGGGTCCCCGTGCGCCGGGAGCATCTCGCTCGAGGTGCAGCCATCCATCCGGCGTTCCAGGCGCGCGGCGCCCCACGCCTGGATGGCGAACACCCACGATACCCCGGCGGCCTCGGCCGCAAGGAACAGGGGCTCCGGGTTGGGGATCTGCCGAAGGGGCCCGGCAAAGGGCGAGAGGAAGACCCGGGAGAAGTCAATCATGTAGAGGATGTCGGCGCCAGTCAGGTAGCCCATGAGGAAGACGATGTTCAGGAGTTGGAAGCCCACTGTGGCCAGCTCCGGCGTCAGCGGGTGCTCATACTCCACCAGGAGCCTGCCGGGGGAGAGGGGGGGGAGGGGGAGAGAAGGGGGGTTTACAGCATCATGTACATGGCCCACCGGCGAGCGCGCGCGGGGAGGGGCCCGGGGCCGGGGGGGCGGGCAGGAGCTGGGTCAATGCCGAGACAAGGAGCGGGCTGCCGGTGAAGGGGCATCATTCCGAAGATCGCAAGGCGTGCGGAGGAAGAGCGGGGAACGGCGGCGAGGGGGGGGGGGGGGGGGGGGGGGGGGGAGCGGGGGGGGGGGGGGGGGGGGGGGGCACGCCGGGGCACGCCGGGAACGCCTGGCCGCCGCCGGGCTTTGGTGCGTCCTCCGGGGATACCCCAGGGGAGAGGGGCGGGGGAGAGCACCAGGTGAAGGGGGCGCGGGGGGGGGGGGGACAGGAGGACGAACCGCAGGGCAGGACGGACATCGCGATGGCGAAGCAGCGCCGTGGCCACATGGGCCGCGGTGTCGGCGAAGCTGACCGGCACGCCATCAGCCACATCCTCGGCACCGGGGGCCGGGGCTAGGCGTCGATGCCCTCCACCGCTGCCGCCAGTGCCGGCATGGGTGCCGGCCATGCCGGCCGCAGGAGCACCGCCAGCGCCGCCCCACAGATCGGCCATCTCCGTGTCCAGGACACGGGCCAGGTCCAGCCGGCCAGCGGCCTCCAGGTGCGCGCGGATGAGGGCCGCCACGGCGCGGTTTTGCTCCAGGACGTTCGTTTGGCCGCTGTTGGGCAATGGCCGAAGCTCCGACCCGGGCAGGGTCTGTCCCCCCGCAGGGGGCGGGGATTCCGACAGGCGAGGGCGAGGCAGCACGGTGAGCGGGGCAGGGAGGGGGCGGCAGTAGGCACACGGCGCAGGGCGCCTCGCCCGGGTTGGTACCTTGTCCAGGGCCTTGCCATACCGCTGGAGGGCGTAATGGTATCGGCGGAGCTCGGCCGGATTGGCGGTGGCGTTCTTGGTGCATCGGGCCACCACCTCGCGCGCGGCTTCCGACACCTGCTTCATGACTTGCGGCCGGGAAGCCGGGTTCGGAGGGGCGGCTTCTGGCGCCAAAGCGGCCGCGCCCTCGGTCGATTCGGCTACATGACGCCACACCGCGGGTCAGCATAACGAGCATGCCTCCCCTTCCCCCCATACACACACACCCACACACCCACACACACCGATCCCTGCCTGCGTAGCGCGGTCAATCGAATGGCCCAGGGGCGTACCCTTCCTCTCGGCGGTATCCAGCGCGGCCAGGAGCTGGTAGAGCCTGCGCAGGTCCGCAAGCTGGGCATCAATGCCGGAGAGAATGAGGTCGGTGAACTGTTCGTGTGCCTGGGCCAGGCTGAGGGTCTCGCCCTCGAGGCCCTGGAGCGATTCCAGCTCGCCAGTCATCATGCAGGGAGTGGCTTCGGGCAGTGTGGAGCAACGCCAATGCACACACACACACACACATACAGGGACTTGAGTGCAGAGAAAGTTGCCGGGGGGGGGAAGTGTAGGAAAGGCGAGGAGGCGGGTGCGAGTCGTGTATGTGGGGAGAGAGAGAGAGAGAGAGAGAGAGAGAGGTGAAGAGGGGATATGAGTGAGGGCGCAAAGCGACATGGGTAGCGCCAGACATGTCACCTGGGGTCCCGGGAAAGGCCAACATCAATGGGCGGACCGAGGGGTTCGGACAAGGGCACATCCTGCTGCCGCGGATCCTCGATCTGACATCGCAGCAAAGAGACCCGAGGTCAGCAACTAGGCCACAGGCCGTGGGGGGGGGGGGGGGGATGTGCAAGTCGCGCCGACAGCTAGATCCCAGGCGAGGCCCTGCCCCGACAGCCAAATCCACGGTGGGGCGTGTCGGGGTGAAGAGGGTCCCGGGCGCCGCACGGACCGGCTTAGCCGCAATCCGGTCCTGGCCGAGGGCAGGCTCGCCAGAATCCCAGCACATGCTGCGTGTTCAGGGCAAACGCAGGAAGGTGACCAAGAAGGGAACGCCGCGGCCGACGAGAGTGGTGGGGTAGCAACGCCGTCATGACAGTGAGATTGAGGGCTATGCTGATTGTCTTGTCGCGTGACCCCATAACGCCATTCTACCTGCGGACATTTGAACGCCCAAGTTCCGGCGCGCCCCCGGCCGGCGGCCGCCTTCGGGGCCGTGTCGTTAAGAACTGTGGTGGTCAGGCAACCGGCCGCCGGGGGGGAAGGTGCCGGGGCCGGGAAGACTGGAGCAGCGAAAAGAAAAAAAAAAAAAGGAGAGAAGGACACAACCGGAGAAAATATCCCCCGGCCAGAGGGTATGCCCCCACGGTGATATCTTGGTGTCTTGCCACTTTGCTCCTCCGCTGCCAGGGCCCCCTCGCGCGTGTCTCACGTCCCCGGCCTGGGGATGGAGGAGGAGCACATGTGGCTGCCTCGAAGTCTGTTCCTGGGCCTCGCGAGCGTGCCTGCAAAGGAGCCCTCGCCCGCTGCCAGGCCGCAGGCGGGCGCGCGGGTTCGTCAGGCAAACACCCGGGCGCCGGGGACGGCTGGGGAGATGGCGCGGCAATTGATTTCTTCGACCAATCATGACCCTCCAACAAATGTCGTTATCCAGGGAGCGCGCGTAGGTGCGTCGGCGACTGGCGGGAGGGAGCTCCGGCGGCAGTCCGTCCCGTCGAGGAATGGGCCGGAAACAGGGAGGGCAAGAGAGACAGAGGGAGAGAGAGAGAGAGAGGGAGAGAGAGAGAGCGAGAGCATGCGTCTGGGACACACGCCCCGGGAGACAGGCGGCAAATGGGCCCGTCCCTGGCCCGGCCCCCCCGGCCGGGGGATTCCAGCACCTCCTTTCTCGGGCTCCCGGGCTCTGGGCGTGGCGAGGACGCGCCCGTCCTGAAAAGCGCCCCGTCGGCTGCCAGAACTGTTGTCCCCGCCCTCCCCCCGCCCGAGGGCGGACAAGGCCCGGGTGTTCGTCCCTTTTTTCCCAGCGAGGGAACAGGCCGGCGGTGCAGAGACGGTCCGGAGGATGTCCTCGCCAAGGGCCGGCGGTTTCCAGAAGGACGTCGCGCTGTGGGGCGCAGGCCCGGCGAGACAGCAGCGAACGACACACGATCGCTCCCCTTTCTTTCCGCCGCCCCCCCCCCCACCCCCGGCCGTGCTGGGCCATTTCCAACTGGCAGGGCCGTTCTCCAGGTG